AATGGATTCATCAATTATAAATTCACCCATAAACCAATAAATTAAAGGCCTGGTTTTACAGTGGATCCAAAGGAGTATAGAACAAGACTGCTGCATTAGGAACGCTGTAATCTAGCTGTAAGGGCCAGATACATGTGGATAATATAAATGATACTTATTTCATATGGTTTTAATGCACGAATAAGAATTAACCTCTCAAAGCCATACAGAAAGCATTGCCAGATGAATGAAGCAGACCTGGGTCATGGGGTTTGGGAGTCTGAGAAGGTCATGGTGGCGTGGGAAAGGAACACCAGAAAGATGGAGAGAAACCAAGTGCTGGCTCTGACTGCTCTCCCGCTCTCTGCTCCTCTTTTGAAGGCGTCAGCTTCCACGCCTCTTCTTCTACACGTCATCAGCTACCTGCCCTCTTGCCCCAGCAGCGCCACATTCAGCATGGCAGATTTCCCAGATTCACACCTTTGTTCCCAGAAGGCCTCCCAAACATATATTTGCATCTCATTATCTCCAATAGGACACATACCCTTTCCTGAACCAATCTCTCTGGTCACAAAAAATGGGATCTGTCGATTGCCTCAGGGCAATCAGTGGTCGCCCCTAAAGTGAAGGAAAGGTCAATCCTACATAGGACATGACTAGGAGGATGGGTGATGGTTTCCAAAGACCACAAAACATACCCAGAGAATTCAGCATGTTACAGAGAGGTGGGGCAGTGTAGCTTGGCAAACGTCCTGTGGGGCTGCGCTGAGTAGGGCGATGCACCGCTTATTTGCTTCCTCCAAGCCAAGACATCAGAAGAGTTCTCAGAAAAGCAGCCTCCACAAGTGGCCCTTCCTTTGGCCATAGCAGAGAAAACATCTCTAGCTGAAAGGCCTGGCTTCGAGACAGTGAGGTTTTCCAATTCTCAATTTTTCTCATCTATAAAATGAGGTTAATAGCATCCATTCTCCCAATTGCACTATGAGGGGCAAATGAAGCCAGAAGGTCTTTAAATGTGTCTGGCGATCTATTTAGAAAGAGCTACCTGTAACACCCAAAAGCCTTGGTACCCAGTGATTAAGTGCTTGACTGTTAACCCAAAGGTTGGTGCTTTAAATCCTCCAGCTGCTCTGGAGGAAAAGAACTGGCCATCTGCTCCCAAAGCAATTACAGCCTTGGACACCCTCTAGGGGAGTTTCCCTCTGTCCGACAGGGTGACTCGGTATTGGTGAGCTGGAATGGACTGGTATTGGCCATTGTGCGCTGGACAGTCATATGGTTCCGGGATGATCACTTCCAGAAGAATGGGCCACTGTCGTCATCACAAAGGACATCTCAAGACCTAACGTGAAGTACAAAGCTGTCTGTAATTGGATGCTATCTATAATGCCTATAATGGAGTCTTCTTAATACTAGAATACTATTATTCAAATTGATGCACCAACCATTAAAATTTAGTGATGAAGAAACTGAAGAATTCTCTTAAGTTCTTCAGTTGGAAATTTCCATGTGAGCCATTTCCTCGAAAGAATTCTCTCTGTATATATTTTTATAAATACACATCACTGGCTTTGTCCCTCTAAAACACCGAGTATAAAGCATTCAGAACTGAAAGGGTGGTTGTGGTGGGGGCTACTTTTAGAGATATGTACAATGTGGAGGCAATTTTAGACTTGAATAATGGGTAGAGGCAGTAAAAAAAATGTTACGGTCACCAATAGTACAATCTTAGAAGCCCTGGTGGCTTAGTGGTTACATATGATTTTAGCTGATCTGTTAGAAGCTATATAAGAGATTAAATAAGCAAGCCAGGAGAGGAGTGTTGGGGGAAGATAGATGGTAAAGCCACAGAAAGAAACCCCAGAAGCAGATGCTCAGGAGGCAAGGATCTTTCTCCAACGCAGTCCAGAGAGGAGCCTTCCTCCAGGTCCAGCACTTCTAGCCTCTTAACTGGGGAGAAATAAATTTCGGTGTCAGAAGCACCAGCTACCCGAGGCAGTGCCTTCTGCGTACGTGCCTGCCCGAGGGCACCCAACGCGATGTCCGGCACAAAGTAGAGTCAAGAACGTACTAACTGCTGGAATGCCTTACAGGCTGTTGTAACGATGGGTCTTGTGAGAGACTCCAGACGTATGTTTGACAAGGCCGTTCTCATACACAAAAAGTATCAACGTTATGGATAAAAAAGATCTTTTACTCACAGGCTTCCTGCCTAAACGGACATCTGTTTCTTGGGATTACCTCGATGTCGTTCATTTAGAGCTAACAGATGCAATTTTAATTATTTTATTTATAAAATACTCCATTTCAAATCCACAAATCATTCATTTGTTCAATACCTACCAATTGAGCCCAGTACCTAGCAAGGTTCTGG